TGGCCATGTGCTGTATACACACACACACACACACACACACACACACACACACACTAACATTCAACAAATTAAAGCCATTGTATAATTTCCACAATGAATTGTGGCACCTATTTACTTTATTCCCAGAGAAGAGAGTCAAATATGCTTTGTGTAAAAGTGCGTGGACTGTACAGCCATCCAGGGTTTGCGCTGTCTGTTTTTACATTTTGCAAGGAATGAGGTTGATAGCCACATACCAGCAACACCCTCACTGCCATCATGGCTGCCGCTCCTGTGGAAACGGTGCTGTCCATCAATATCACATGGTCCTCACTGATGTCTCTGGGCAGTCGCAGGTAGTGCAGCTAAATGGGGGGGTGGGGCGGCGAGTCTTAGTTACCACGGAAACAAAGTGAGAAAGAGGGAACCACAGCCACCAAAAAGAATGAAACTGAGGAGTCAGGAGATCTCTGTTACCATGGAGACAGAGACCAACAGGCAAAATGGACATAAAGGGTTTGCTAAGAGCCGAGAAAATAAATACATTTTATTTAAAATACAATACAAGGCTATACATTTTTTTCTAGATATAACATATTTGCTACGGTGAAGTCGCGCAGGTAAAGTCGCAGGTCTTTACACTCGTTGGTCTTCACACGAGGAGGCCTGAACGCTTCCGCTGATGGTGCAGCCGTCTGTCTCTTCTGTTGACTAATCGCTTGACCCGACTTAAATCGCTTGACTGAATTAGTCAGACTGGAATTTATTAGTAAGATCTTTCTTATAGTACATAAGACAAGAAAGACAGGCTTCATTGTATTTTCAGTCTGTTACTGATATTGTGTGCAGTGATTTGAAGCCTGTTTTACCTCTGGTTCTCCTGAATCCAGATTAGTCTGGATCAGAATCTTGCCAATACGGACGTCTTTGCACACAGCTCTCAGAGCAGGTTCCATGGTCTCACCGGCCTGAAGAATGGACACACCTGTGATCTAGGAGACAGGAGGACAAGTGCTGCTTCAAAACCAATATGATTTCAAACAAATATTTTATGAAAAATACTCCTAATTGTGGAAATGAATGTTCAACTGAACAGACGCACAAATGTACCCCTTTCCCACTAAATCTGCGGCCCTTATACTCTTGGCCTTGCGGTGTCTGGATGAAACAGGCCTGTAAAAAGAACAGATATTTATGTGATGATACACACAGTACAGCTGAGAAGAAAATATTTTGCTCTGTATTTATTAAGAGAGAGGACAAAAGGTCACCAAAATATTTATATTAGGGCAGTCATATTTACATTAATATTTAACAAAAACCATATATTTATCATATTTATTTTAAAAAGTACTTTCAAATTAACAGGCAAATTTAGTATGATTAATTATAAAAAATGAAAAATAAAGTGAATCACTTTTTTAACAATTATTCGTGCCAACTGACTTGTATGCTGATTAATTAGATGGCATTTAATGTAATTAATTCCATTAAATTTTACAATCATATAAGTGTTATTCATTGCAGTTTGATTAATTAACTAAATAAAAATTGTAGTTAAATATTGTAGTGTGACTAACTGCTATTCATTTGATTAATCAACAGGCATATACTGTTGATATATATGTGATTATTAGAAATGAATTAGATTAATTAACTGCCATATAATGTAATTAATTAAAATTACATTTTTATTGATATATGTGTGACTAATTGTTACTCATTTGATTAATTAACTGGCATATACACTTAATTCAATTAAAATTTTTATTGATATTTGTTATTAGCAATTAATTAGATTAACTGACACATAAAGGTCATGCAATTAATTCCATTAAAATTCTAATCAAGCCTTAGTTGTAATTTAAATCACAGATTCAGCTTTGATCGCACAATAATATCAAACTTTGGCAAAAAAGACACTGAGTGGCACACATAAACACACGCACAAAAAAAAACCACCCACACACCTTGGAGGGCAAGAAATACAGTGCATGTTCAATAAGTAACCGCATCAGTCTCTTTGAGTAGAAGATGAACTCGTCACAGCTAGTGTCTTTGTTCCTAAAAACAAACAGAGGAGAAGTACATAAGAGACGCAGAGAAAATGGTAAAAGCAGGTCAGTGAGTCATTAGCCTGATTCACACATGTGAGGAATTCTGAATGGCAGCCGGAACAGATGAATGGATTCCAAAACACATTTCAACAACAAACATTAACATTTAAAAGTAGGATTTCTTTTGATGTGTTTCATAGAACTGATTCATATGACACTCACCTAATGATGGTGTGGAGACCGAGGACCTGTGGTGTGCTTTCCAACACACTGAGAGTCTGAGGAAGCGGCTGGGACTGATGGGCCGTGGCCAGGAGTGCCCTGTGTGTGCGTGCATATGAAAGAGAAGAGACATAAAGCAAATCAGCACTGTCAAAGACTAAAAGGAAAAGCCACTTGTACACCAGTCCATGACATTTCTAACACTGTCAGTTTTTCTTAATTTGAAAACATAATCATGGGTTATAATTCTGTATAAATAAATACACAAACATACACAACTAGCCCAACTCTATGTATAGTTGGCTAAGGCTAGTTGTCACACTTTTTACTCCAGAGAATATTTTTATATTTTTTAAAAAGTACATATCTTCATAGACCGTAAATTTGTGTTTATGTATGAGGGTGTGTGTGAGAAAGAGGAAAGGCTTCTCTACCTGGCACTAATCTCACGCTGCCGAGAGTTGAAAGATCAGTGAAAACCAGTGAAAGAGAAAGATTGAGCAGGCTGAGAGTGTGAGAGAAATTATCTGTCTTGAGTAAGTGCCACAAAGACAACTGTTTACTCACATTTTCCCTAAATTCACAGGCAGAGGGCGCCGTTTCGATGTGTAGTGTGAAAAAATATGAAGGAAGCTGAAGACTATTCAACATCAGTGTTAATTTTGACAGCAAATTTTGATTTAGTCTTAGTCATAGTCTTTTGACTAAAATGGCATTTAGTTTTAGTCATATTTTAGTCATCTGAATAGTTTTAGTTGACTAAATTTCATAAGATTTTAGTCAACTAAATCTACAGTAGATTTAGTCTGCTAAAATCTAATGGGTTTAGTTAGTGTAATGCATTTATTAAGCATTTCTCTAAAATTTCCAAACTCATTATATACGTTTGATATTAAGGTTTTATAATGCAATATAGACACAGATTTAACTGCTGTGACACACAACATGCCTTTATATTAAAATTAAATAAAACCACTTCTCATTAAGAAACAAGAACATAGTCCTCCTTTCAATTAAATACCAATGGTTATATAATATTAATTCTTTATAACGACTTACCACATTTTTCATTCTTTCAAGCAGACATATATATTTATGTAAATAAAATTAGATTAATCCTTATTAGGGTTACTAAAGTCATTCAGTCAAGAGCAGTGAGTGATTTTCTCTCTTTCTTTTGTTGCTTGATTAACATCAATGACACAGACAACAGCAACTAATTAGGCTACTGTCCCTTTAAAACGGAATGCAAGGGTGCATAATACTGATACACATCCGATATTCTTCCAACTGTTTACGATCACTTAAGACGTAACCAAGTGTGTTTTCGTGAATACTCGTCAAAACGGCCAATTCGACATCATTTTGTGTGTATTTCTCCGTTCATGCGATGCGAAAGAGAACTGAATTAATTACTCGTCCGCTGTGTCTGTGAGAGGCACTTTTCTGTGTGCGTGCAGAAAACCGGACCGAATTGAGTTCTCTTTTGCATTGTCATGCTTTTCAAATTATCCATATGTCTGCTCTTCTCTTACTCACAGATATTGAAATTTTTGAATGTTTTATGGGACGTGCAGCAAGCGTATGCTAGCTTATGTCCCGCTGGTCAGATCAATAGGCTGTAACTGTTCAAATGTGCACATCTAACCTCCCAACCACGCAGGAGATTCATTCTGACTGGATCTCTTCGTCCCTCCCTAACATTGTCGTCTCGTTTTTAGTTGTTGACGAAAATGTCAATAGATTTTCGTCATAGTTTTTGTCATTCAAAACAAGTTTTTATTTCGTTATGGTCTCGTTTTCGTCTGTGAAAAAATGTTGTTGACGAAAATTATTCGTCAACGAAACACTGTTCAACACTGCAGAAATGGTACTTGACTGGAATGCTTATATTGTATTATTTTACCCATTGTATATTCTACCAATGATAAAGTGCTAAATTAGTTTTGTCAAGCAGGGCACTGTGAGCTCCTTTATAAAAACAGACTGTGTTTACTACTACCCAGTGATTTTTAAGTTGAAATTGTGTAACAATGACTGTAAGATATGTATTTTAGGTAAGGGAATGGCATATTTGAGTTTTAAATTGTGGGATAGGGCTATTTTTAATTAGTCACTGTGCTAGTTTTGCTTTGGAGATCTGGCAACCCTGATGCCACATGCCCCTTAGATTTTAAAAATGAAACTGGGGAAACCTGCACAAGTACACTAAAACATTTCAGGTTTACATAATGAACTAAGTTGTTAAAGAGTTTTTTTTTTTTTTTTAATATCTTGTCTAGGGTGGACTACCAATGTGACCACAAAAATAGGTGCATAACTTCTCCTGGGCTGGAAGAATGGACAAGATTATTTCACAGGACACTACCGTAATTCCCTTTTTCACTCACCTCTTCTAGCTGGCTGTGAACATGCTGAACAATCAGGTCAATGGCCACCATGTTGCCTCCACCTGTGTGTGAAGGAGAGAAATTAATAAATGTAACATCTGCTAACTGCAATTATTCACTGCAGAAATGCATATATGCTGAACTCACCACGTGGAACTACAATGTCTGCAAGTCTCATGGTAGGTTCGATATACTGCTCAAAGGCTGGTTTTATGAATTTATTGTATTGTTTAATGACACCCTCAATGTCCCGTCCTCTCGCTGTGATGTCCCTCCTCAGCCACCGTACCAGCCGGATATCTGAATCTGTATCTACAAAAATCTTCATGTCCATCAGCTGCAAAAAAAAAAAAAGAGAGAAAGAGAGAGAGAGAGAGAGAGAGAGAGATGACTTACCAACAGAAAGTTTAAGACTGAAGAAATATTATGCTTTCAGTTGAAGGATATAGTGACAGATATTTTTACACTTAGACCAAGATCAAAATGTAAGTAATCAATACAAACAAAATAGAAAATGTGTACATTTTAAATGCATTTACCTGCAAAATGTTAATTTTGTCAACTTTTAGGAGCACATTAGCATATAGATCCTATTCCTGTTCTATTCGATATGGACTAAAAGCCACAAAAGTCAAATTTTGATTTCATGTGATCCCTTTAAGATGAATTCGTGATAAATGGTCCCTCAACATCTCCCTTACTTCATCACCAAAACATTTTTATCACTTACTTTGCTTTGAATTTTTATCAGTATTTACGAAACATTCAGAAACCGCAACATTTCATCATACCTGCAAGAGCTCTTTGTCTGCAAAGGACAAGAGGCCTTCAAAGATAATGATGCTAGCACCATAGACATTTTTCTGGAAGAGTATGAAATGAAAAACCAAAGACCATCAAACAAACTGAAATCTTTTCCATGCCACTATTATAAATTATGACTGTATCTGGTGCATATATTTTTAATATACTTCTGGAAAGTATGTGAAACATCTGCCACACACACTCACCCAGTCTTTCTGGCGTCCATGTGTAGTGAAGTCATAGACTGGGATCTTTACACTTTTCCCCCGTTTAAGTTTCCGCAGCGTGGTCACAAGCAGCTCAAAGTCAAAAGCTCCTGGATGGTCAAAGTTATAGTCATTTCTGGCAGCCAGAGCTTGTTCCTCTGGAGACAGGACCTGCAGATGGGTAACATAAAGGTTGCATGTTTGATCACTGGTGGGGGCGACACAGACACCAGAAAGATCACAATCCTGCCCTATCACCATATGTGCTTTAACAGCAACGCAAGGGATACTATTTTATTCTGATCACATACACCATGGCATCTGAGGCTGTTATTAATATGTGAGTATTTGTGAAAACATGTCAGAGGCTACATAAAATAAAAATAAAATAAAAAGGCATAGTTCGTCCAAATGTGAAAATTCTGTAATTTACTCATGTTGTATTAAATCCTTATCTTGTTGTTTTTTTCGGAGAAACACAAAAGTGAAATAAAACATACAGCAAGACCAGTGTAGTCTGATTCGAGAACAAATGTCTCTGAGGAGCCGTTTAGTGAATTAAAAACATACAGCACAACCAGTTTAATCCGAATCCTGAACGGATGAGTCTTAGGTTCTTTGCAGTGACTCAAAACCATACAGTATAAAATAATTATTCTTTTTTCTTTTATTAGTCTTTTATTGATATTTCAAGTTATCTAAAGTCTGATACTGATAGGTGCTGACTGCAGGGAGGAGTCTGTCCAAAGAGTCTTCACCACTTCCATTGGACCAAAAAAGATAATTATTTTGATCTTAGTTTTGGTTTTTAGTAATCTTGGTTCATTTAAATTTCAGTCATTTTTAATACATTATTAAAATCAAATGTTGTATCTGTTAATATTATTTAATGGACCTGAGCTAAATGTATTACTCATTGTTAGTTAGTTAACATTACCTAATAGTACCTTATTGTAAAGCGTTACCAGGACATTTGTAGGTTGATTTTTATCAAAACATTTCTCTCTCTGACCAGCCCAACATAGCAACAGCAGCTGAACCAATGGGGTGCGTTTGGGGTGGGGCGATCTGTATGTCCAACCAATGAAATACAGGTGGAGTGTTTGGGAAACCTTATTGACAACAGTTATTTTTGCTATTCTTTTTGGTGCCACTAGAGCTACATAAATTACACATTTAACTTTTTTTTTTTAATTTAATAATGTTTCATGCAAAACAAATAAAATAAGTTTTGGTTTAAGTAAAATTAATAAAACTAAAACCAAAATGAAAATAAATGAAAGCTAAATATAAAAACAAAAACCAGCTAAATATAAAAACAAAAGCACATAAAAGACAAAGCAAATCACTAAAACTTTAATAATTAAATTTTTAAAAAGTACTGAAAAATGTAGAAATACTATATACAGTAAATGTTACTAAAACAACAATGGTGGGTGCGTGTGTGAATTAATGTCTAAACTATCTTGTTGTACAATATGTCATAAGATTGTCAATCAACTGATTCGACCTAAAACTAAAACAACCTTTCAGTCATAAAAATCTAACAGAACTAATTTAACAGGTTGAAAATAGCAGCAAGAGATCTTTCCACCTGCATCATGTCAGTGTCATTAACAACCTGTCTCTCTCACTCTTTGTATCAACAACAAGAGTTAAGTGACTAAATCAGGCCACCAGTCCCAGCACATTCAAAACAGCTCAACAACGCACAGCAAAAAAGAAAGGTGCTGCTAAAATTATGGTAATGTAATAGCCAAAAAACATAATGTCTTAAAAACGTATAAGGCCCTGAAATAAAAAAAGAGTTGACTCAAAATCTAGACTATAAACCAGATACACTCTTTTCAATGAAAAAGTTAGAGGAAACAGCAGCTGCAGCATTCTAAACCATGTTGATGATCTACTCTTTAATTGCATATGTCACTCAAATGAGTGGACAAAACGGCATTTAATTAACCTTTTAAATGCTAAACAGTCCATTTCATAACTTACCCTCCATCTGTATGGAGTGCCCAGCAGCCTGATATTCCCAGTAGCCCCTCACTGCAGAAAAAAGATCCAGGGGGGCGGGGTTGGATCCACATCTAGGGGGTGGTGATGGGTAGGTTTAGGGGTGGAGATGGGTGGGTTTAGGTATATGTAAGGTGGGAGGAGTTGGATCCCCTGGATCTTGTGTTCTGCAGTGAGGACCATCTCTGATATTCTGGCCCCTGTGTATCTGGGCAGCGTGCTCATATCAGCTAAAATAGTCTGACGGCTGTCTTCCATATGAGCAATAAAGATCACATTCTCATTGAAGCGCAAACAGCGCAACACAGATAAACCAGCTAATAATCACAGCTGAAGCACAAAGCCTGGGTCACGGAGAGTGCGGACATCATACCACGCTGAACGCACTGGGAAAAACACACGCCTGCTCTAAGAAAGCACTAGATCTGCAGATTTAACACTGGGATCTGCCTTTGTTTTATCAGAGTAAACCTTGAAGTTAGAACGTTAGCTGACCACTGAGTAATGTATTCAAGAAACCTTTTAATAAATAAAAAAAACGTCTTTTCTTTGTGTCTGGATACTTGCTCGCAGTGTGTGGGGTTGATTGAATAAGAGGATCAGCTCTACAGGTGACATGGATGGAAAGTATTAATAGAACCAAGAGACACAGAGAGCCTGGAAAGCTTAACTGCTCAGAGTTCTCAGTTAGGTTTCATTTAAGAGTCAATTTTCTATCAGATGTTTCTCTTAAAATTCCTTAGTTGAAATAAAGTCCAAAACCCAATGGATAGCAAAAATCAGATAATTTGTTCTTGGAATCATTTTGTAATCTTATTTACAGTGTGAGACACAATCTCCTCTACTTTTTTGCAGTGCTAGTGTTTCCAAACTGGGGTTCATAAAACGCTAGTGTTTCCAAACTGGGGTTCATAAAACGCTGGGTTTCAAGAGGGAACTGCATGGGGTTTGTGAGTTGATGAAAAGCTAATAATTAAATAATAATAATGCAAAATACATTTTAAAATAAAAACAATCAAAATAAAACATTTAATAAAAAACATAAAATATTTCATTTTACTTACATGTCATGTGACCATTAATCAACATCAGAGAAATGTGAACTTGCAAATGTGTTGTTAAATTATTGAAATATTTAACTTAAAATCTCACAGGGTACTTCAAGTAAATATTTACATCAAAGGGGGTTGACTGACAAAAAAAATTAAAAAAAAAACATTTGGAAACCCCTGTGTTATACTAAAAGTTGACCAAATTTTTTTTTTCAAGTATTCATATTTCTGTCTGAAAAATTACCCAAAATATATCACCTTGCACAGAGGGGCATATCCAAATTTTTGGTTCAAATGCTCTAGAAAAAGAGCGTACTCTCCCTAATACTACTAAATGCAAGCAACAAGTCATAATTTACAGTCGCTTTTGGCTATTAAAAAACTATTCTTGTTTAGGTCAAGGAGAAACTAAAGAGATATTATTTGTGACTTGCTTTCATTTTGAGAGAGAGATTAAGAAAGAGAAAGAAAAAATCTCTGAGCTGGCCACCTGCCAGACACCTACACTATGAAACTCTATAAAAGCAAAATATAACTATATATTCATGTATATTTTACAAAAAGAATGTGTATGGTCAGTTAAAATATCGGTCATAGGACCTGGTATTGTAAAGAATTATTACATACACCACAATATATTTTGATGCACGAGTCTATTAAATAGACATCTCAAAGGTCAAATCTCGGTTAGTGATCAATTAGGATGTGATCTCTCCATGGTGCACTAATGGAAACACATGTAGCGTCAGGAGGGAGACCTCAGTCTATAGTTCATTATAATAATATTATCATTAGCGCGCGGCAGTCGCCTGCTGAAACTGGGGTAGGAGGGAACAAGGAAGGAGGTTAACTATGATTTACGTTCCTATTATGATTTTTTTTTCATCATCAGAAAGATGAAACGTTGCATTCCACAGTATGAATAACCGTTCCATAACATGCCAAAAATGATTATTAATTGGCTCGATGTGGGTCAACAGATAGTAACGTCAAAGGTGCACCTGCGTCAAAACGCATTGACGCTTTCCCCTATCATATAGGCTATAGCCTATGTTTGTAGAATGGGTGGACCGCAGGGTGAGCGTGATTTCACCAAGTACAACATGTTCCTGGATCAACATCCTTGTTGATCCTGGAACATCATTCCAATCAACCAATCAGAATTAAGAGATAACTTTTCAGGAAATGTCAGTTTTAGACTTACAATCAGGATTAGGTGCTTCTACACCCTTTTTAATCAGCTGTCATTTCCCTCTGATTTTAGGAATAAATTATGTGTATGGCTAGGTTTAGGGGTAGGGATTGGGTTAAGTCTGTATTTTTGGACAGTAATGTTGATCCAGGATCAACAAAAGATGTTTTGGAACATGGAACATGTCTTACTTGGCAAAATCACAGCGACCTGGACCGCAGACAGCTGTATTGTGATACCTGTTTGATCGGCTTGAGTTTTTTCTGCTGAACTCCATCTCACACATAACTCTCCACTCATATCCGACTCGCCATGAAACTACACTCTCAGCTGTTAATACCTCACGATACGAATTATGGGAAATGTAGTTTCGGCCCACTCTTCTTTTTCAGTTAAAACTGTTGCCTGTAAAATACCAGTGCACTTCCTACAGTATTAGAAGAATGTTTCTGCCTAACTTTGACAGGAAATTTATAATCAAATCTAATATATCACAAGCTGAGTCATGGAGTCACAACACTTAATCCAAATGAAGGAATCAGACTCCTTTCATTACTTGAAATAATACATCAAACTCTCCACAAAATAATGCATGAATACAGTTTTATGCAGTTTTGTGTGTCCCAAACCACTTTCAGGTTCTCACACCATATCATCCTGATGTTTTGACATGGGTTTTTTGAATGGTCTTTTGGGCAAGTCCACACTTGAGACTTTTTTAGGCTCCAATGCAGCATGTCATCTGTGTTTTTTTTTTTACATCTGTCACTTACAGAGCTTTGTAATTTACACAACATAAACACAGCTTTTTGTGGCCAAAGATACTTATCATTTCAGCGTAACTGCTGTCGTCATTGTCACATTGGGAACTAGTTTGGACACATTTGATCTTTTTGTTCCCAGAAACAAAAACATCTTAAGTTAAAAAACAGCTAAGCTGTCACAAAACTAAAACAGGCCGTCCAGTTGGATTCACAGTACAAATGCAGGTTTGAATCATTTAGGTTCATATCTAATGTGAAATGAGTCCTGAAACACCTGTAGGAACTGGACACATTTTGCTTACGTAGAACCACAATCTTGACCGGCACATTTGAGGGCACGTCTGGCAAAGTCACATTCCAGCAGAAAATAGCTAGCAAGCTTGTTTCTGTGGGTGAAAGCTCATAATATAGCTTTTAATATAGCAATTTCTGACAGTATTACCAGACATCATTGTAGAAGGTCTTGTAGACTTTAAAGTGGAACTGAGTTTTTACAAAATCCAGGGAACTTTGGTACAGCCAGCTAAGTCCGCCTTTATCAGATATAAAGATTCAAGATTCCTCTGCATTTTGTTTGCATTTCGAAGCAGATTTGGGGTTGATAAATCATGGGTGCACATGAAAGCTCCTTGTGTAGATCTCATTTGATATGAGTTTTCTATAAGCGTAGCGAGAATGTGGGGGTTGAGCTGTATAACTGAAACCTGTCCCCGTGTCCCAGTCCATGACAGCTTCAGTCAAATGTCTCTGGCCTCAGCCTGACCAAACACACTGATGTCCCTTCAGAATGCAGCCAGTCTGGTAGAACTGCCCTACGCATGGTTGAAGCTATGACAGGTTTCCGGATAGCCCTGGAAAAAAGAGGGAAAGTGAGGGATGGAGAGAAAAAGCATGAATGAGTGAATGAATCTAAAATGTCTCAGAGTAGCTCTCCAATGGCAACCTACACACATATCAGTACTATATGGTGGACATCAAAATTGAGGAATCAGTTTTCTCTCTGGGTTTGGGTTTTTAATATACACCATGGTTCAAAAGTCTGGGGTCAATAAGATTTTTTTTATGTATACTTTAAAGATGCATTAAATTGGTCAGAAGTGACAGTAAAGACATTTATAATATTTCAAATAAATGCTGTTGTTTTTAACTTTCTTTTCATCAAAGAATCTTGATAAATATTAAGCAGCACAACTGTTTCAACATTGATAATAATAAGAAATGTTTCTTGAGCACAAAATCAGCATCTTGGGATGATTTCTGTTTTGTCCTTACAGGAATAAAATAATATTTTTTAAATATATATTAAAACAGAAAAGAGTGGTTTTAAATTGTAATAATATTTCACAACATTACTGTTTTTGCTGTATTTTTGATCAAATAAATGCAGACTTGGCGAGCATAAGAGACTTCTTTCAAAAACATTTTCAAAATCTTACTGACCCCAAACTTGGACTATCAACAAGCAACCCATTTCTTAGAATTTTTATTTGTCGCAACTAACTGTTCATCAAATTACAGTCATAAATGTTCATAAATACATAAATTTCATACTGTGAGCACAATGATTATTTTATTCTAATGACTGCCCTAGTTTTATATTTTCCTTCAGGTTTATTCATCGGACATAACACCAATAGTGGATAGAAAAAAAGACGTAGTCAACTAAACACAATGTAAATGTTTCCTAAATATTATTGTAATCACTTCTTTTGGTTTACGTTGTTGGAAAGGGTGTCCCTTGCAAGAGGATCAACATATTTGGGCATCCCTTCCAACAAAAAATGTAAAAACCCCTGCACTAAAGCAAAAAATAAAGCTGCTAGGGAGACATAAATAGGCACAAATACACCAAACCGCCATAACGTTCATTTTCCATTATGCAAACTTTATTGCTTTTAGGTCCTGTCACCTGCTGCAGAATATTTCTTCCTCATTTTTGCTCTTTATTCTCACACACACACACACCTCTGCTTAGCAGCTGTAAGTTGCGCCCTTCCTCTTGTACTTGTAGTTGTAGAACCTGCTGGAGAAGCTCTTGTCTCAGAGTCTCCTGAACCAAACCCATCCGCTCTAACTTCTCGCCATTCAATCTCACGAGAGCACGACCTGACAAAGACAAAGTGACAGAGAGAGAGACAATTTCAGTAGACATGAGCTCTTTGGAAACACACAAGCTCTGCAGCCTCTACATTATGCATGCACAGTTTTGCTGGCAGCTATAAACAAGTTACAGCATTGGGTTATTATCTCCGTGTTCCCAGTGATCTTTGCATATGTGACTATGGCAACATGCTGTGTGGAACTGCTGCCTGAGGGCATAGGCCGCCCCGGGTTCATTTCCCTCTTTGTTTCCAACTGAGCCTCTCGTGCTGTGACTCTAAACACTTAAGTCCACAGCCTTGCAGAAAAAACACTGCATTTGTCTTTTGTCCTCATATTTTTTAACTCCCTATATTATTTTTCTCTCGATTTCCTTTTCTATGGATCTCACCCAGGGTGTCTGTGATCTTGATGCTTTGTGTCCACTGAGAGAGAAGAGAGGATTTGTGGGGGACGTGAAGTCACACGGGACCCTAGTGAGCAAGTGTGTGCTCAAGGAGTGAGTGGGAGAAGCAGCTGTCTAAGCGCCAGTGTGTGAGCGGGACCCCGTGACATGCTCAGACATGAGTCGCATATTCACATTATAATTCTACAAACCCTAGAAAAACATGGTAAAATAATAATGAAGGATATCAGTATGGCCAGCGAGTCCTAGCTTCAAAAAATCCAACTGGCTGCAGATTTCCCCATTGATGGTCAATAGAAAATACTCATTTATTTCAAAAGATTGTGTCAGTAAAATTAAATGTTTTTGAAAGTTTCTTATGCTCACTAAGGTTGCATTAATTTGATCAAAAATACAGCAAAATTATAATATTGTGAAATATTATTACAATTTTAACATTTTTCTATTTTAATTTATTTTGAAAATGTATTCCTGTGATGGCAAAGCTGAATTATTAGCAGCCATGTCACATGATCCTTCAGAAATCATTCTAAGATTTGGTGCTCAAGAAATATTTCATTATTATAAATTAATTAAACATTATTATAATTTCATCAAACATTATTATCAAAGTTTTTGCTGTTTAATATTTTTGTGGAAACTGTTCAACTTTTTTCAGGATTATCTGATGAACAGAAAGTTGAAAAGAACAGAATTTATTTAAATTAGATTTTTTTTGTCACAATGCAAGTCTTTACTGCCACTTTTGATTAAATTAACGCACCTTGCTGAATAAAAATATTAATTGTGCTGTAGATATCACTAATATTGTTATATGACATTATATATGACAGTAGATATATTTTCCAGTGCCCGATTCTTTTTGTAGGCACTTAAAAGCTTGAAATTGAGACATTTTTCTTGTTTTTCACAGCTCAGGCAAGTAGCTAATGAAGGCCTTGGGACTGTACATGTTCATGTATCATGAAGGAAAATCATACATTTCTCAGATGAATGGCTCAAAAACAAAACTAAGTGTCCATGGGCATTGATGGCAAATTTCTAATCTCGTACTTTTGAGGGTTCTGTGCCAATACTAAAACATTTAAATTTTTCTAGAATATTGAAAATGGAGCATGAAAGAGTAAAGCACTGTAAATTCAGGGGTTGAGGAAATGGTACCAGCTCTTTGACAAAAGACATATTTTTGGAAAAGTAGATGAGCACTGGTTGGCTGACCTTCAGCTAAAATGGTAATGCTTCTGTCATACCATACGAGATATAGTAGATGTGTTGGTGTCAAAGGATTGGTCTAACTGCTGCGCAAGCAGTACCTTTTAAAAGGTGATTTTGTGCAGGGTCACTGTGATGTGAGATTTTACACCGAATGCAATTCCATATGAATAATAATAGCTAACACATTAAAATCATATTGGGATATTTAATTATATACAATAACTACAACAGTTCTTTTGTTTTACATTGGATAACACACCTGTAATGGCGTGGTGGGAGAAGACTTCAACATAGGTCAAGTAGTTGTGTGGACAGTGCTTCTTCAACCATCTGCACACATCCTGCTGAGACCACAGAACCACTGGCCTGGAGAGACACGGCAAGGTGGGGCTGGTGTGGTAAACAGAGTAAGATTCACCTGAACGTAACTGAAAGAGAAAGAAATAGAGCATGGGAAACAGAGAGACAGGGAAACTCATTTAAATATGCATTTCACAGAGAAGTGGCATAGAAAAGCAAATCTAAAAATGTGACTGAATTGTATGCATCCTTCTGGAGTCCTACCATGTATGAATGCACAACGTTTTATAGCACTACTAATTTGAAACCATTCTCCAGCAGAATTTAAAAAAAAAGATGTAGACAGATAAATAGCTCTCTCTCCTGCTAAGACCTCTGGGAAATATACATGCTTTTTTGTTTTTTTTTAAATAACTGTGTTCCAGGTCATGCACCGGCAGTGATTAAGATGGATGTTTTCATCTTACACAGCCATCTGATTGGCTGCCTAACGGACGCGGCCATGATTCTGCACACTGAGCTGTATAAATGAAGGGCATTCTAGAATGATTAGCATTCGTTACAATGGCTGCGCTAGTGACATGAGCCACAATAACACTCGCTCGACCTTCATCACACTTTCATATGATCACAGACTAATTATACAAAACCATCCTGCAAAGATAATTCCAGCAAATCATCCACATTTAGAGCCAGTGAGAGTATATGAGGGCTAATGAAACTGAGTTTAATGTATCTGTGACATACAATATTATGATGTTTGTTTACTGTGACACCAAAAAAAGCATTGCTAATATTTAAACTACAGTTCAGAAGATTGGGGTCAGAAAGATTTTTCTATTTTTTTTAAGAAATTAATTATTTTATTTAGCAAGGACACAATCAATTGATCAAAAGTGACAGTGAAGACATTAATAAGGTTGCAAAAGATTTTATATGGTTACAAAAGATTTTTTATTTCAAATAAATGCTTTCTATTCATTAAAGAATCCTGAAAAAAAAGGTATAATGGTTTTTACAAAAATATTTAGCAGCACAACTGTTGTCACCATTGATAATAATAATAGTTTCTTGAGATGAAAATCAGAGACTTTTTTTAAAAAACATTAAAAAATCTTTCTGACCCCAAACTTTTGAATGGTACTGTACAGGATTAAAAGCAATATCATAAAACTTCCAAAGTGACCCAAAAAATGGGGTCTGATAGCAGGAAAAGAAAAACAATGCCATGTGCTACTAATAAATATTATGTGCCCTTGTCCATTAGTGTTGACACCAAAGACTGTGTATTCAATCTGACTCTTATATAATAAATATATTATATTATTTTCATATTACATTTTGCTATTTTCTAATGTGCTATAGGTCGCTGTAAATTATGGGTACTGAAACAAAACTCATCTCATAATATAACTAAGTTTCATTCCCTGTGCTTTGCATATTTTATTCCCTTTCTTTGGTGTTCCATTTCATTAACAGACATTTATCCTCACAAAATCACAGCCCTCCATTTTCCCACTTCTCCCTCTATTTGTTTTGTTTTTCTAAGCCATTTGCCACCATCTGTACCCCATCCTTCAAGTTCATCTTCCATTTTCTTTCTCCTTCACAGTTTTTGCCCTATCTCTACTGCTCTCTCTCTCTTTCTCCCTAAGGCAACTTTCTACGTTATGCCTTTGCTGTGTTTGCCCTTGAGGGCAGTGGGGAATTCTTTCTTCTGCAACTGCAGGAATTCGCACACATACATGCATGCATGCATGCACACACACATATAGGCTGAATAAGTGACTGTTCCACTCAGCTGGTCTTGGGCAGGATGCACATCTCTCCAGAAACTGTCTCTGTAGGGCATAAGAACGCTGTGGTCCTAAATAATAGTTCAGACAAAAAAATGAACATTTTCTGAAAATGTACTCCCCCTTAGGAAATTCAAGATGTAGATGAGTTTGTTTCTTTTTCGGAACAGATTTGGAGAAATTTAGCTTTACATATGCTCACCCATAGATCCTCTGCAGTGAATGGGAGCCGTCAGAATGGGAGTTAAAGTGCTTAATGATGGATTATTTATTACAAATGCACAGCTTTGTGCTTCACAAGACATTAATTGATGGACTGGAGTCATGTTGACTACTTGTGGATTATTATGATGTTTTTATCAGCTGTTTGGGCTCACATTCTGACAGCACCCATTCACTAAACAAGATCCATTGGTGAGCAAGTGATGTAATGCTAAATTTCTCCAAATCCCGATGAAGAAACAAACTCATCTACATCTTGGATGGCCCGAGGGTCAGTAAATTTTCAACAAATTTTCATTATTGGGTAAACTATTCCTTTAAGCCCTTCTAGATGAGATTATTAGGCATGTCACTGTCACATTTACATATTTTTAAGTACCTTATCTCACTGTAAAACATGAACATCATTTTGTTTGTGGCTTATAAATGGATCTGACTAAGTAGCTGTCAAACTTTCCCTATTTTAATGCCCATTATTCGAAATTGCACTCTGTGACACACAATGGAGACAAGCTGATGCAATCCTTCTTACTCTGCAATGTCCCTATACGCAATGGTATAGATTACAGAATCAGTCAGTGAGAGAGGAATTCACACCACTTAAATGCACAACATTAATTATTTACAGTATGAGTTTCATTCACCCAGACCCCAGAGGATCGGTGTGAGCACAATAATGAGAAAATACAAACACTAACCATCAAAAGTGGCCCCCAGTACACAAATGCATACATAACAGTCACATTTTTTACTACAATTAGTCAATAGGCACTTGAGTTCCTCATTTCTTCTTTGATCATTCTGCAATGACATGTCCGCGGAAAGTGGCGTCTTGGCAAAGTTTATAGACAATCACAACAGCGCTGATGAAAGTCAGAAAAGATTTGTGATAAAAGTGACGTTTTCTATTTTCTTTTCTTCTTTGTTCACTCTTTATTTATTCTGGGAAGAGCACACTATGTGGTGAGATGTCAGTGAGCCTTTCATGTACTGAGATACACAAACCTGCATTGTTAAGAAAAATACTAACAAGTGTAGCTGTGCTGAACAAAGGATTTGTGTATGAAGCCATTAGGGGAAGAGATAAAACAGAGCTGTTTATCTCTCCTGTCACTGTAGGAAGAGGCTAACAAGGTCCACCATTCATTAACGATGGTTTAAATTATAAGGCCAAAAAAGTGCAGAGGTTAGTTAGGATCTCATCAGCTCCTGTTTGGGGTTTTCATGGGGAATAAATGAACATAGACGTCTGATCAAGCCAAGCTTTTGATCATGAATTCACTTTTTGGAAAATCAAAGGCAAACAGTCTGAGCCTTCGCCCTCTGATCCGGTTCAGCAAAATGCAACAAATTTAAACCCAAGTTCAGAAGATTGACCTTAAGTCTGGTGTTCCTCTTCCAATTACTCTGGCAAAAAGCAAGATTTGTGAATGATTTAGAAACTATATTGGTGTTTAAGACTTGAAATAAAATAGATGAGACAATAAAAACAGATGAACAGATGACACATTTCTTATCCATAACAAAATAATAATATATAATAATACATAGATGATGTTCTTTTGATCTTTGTATCAAATGTATCATATTTTCCACAACAATATTAAGCAGCACAACCGTTTTCAACATTGATAGTAATACGAACTGTTACTTGAGCTCCAAATCAGCATATTAAAATGATTTCTGAAGAGACTTCTTTCAAAAATATTTTCAAAACTTAGTGACCACAAAATATGTATATTATGTATAATTATACTATGCTACATGTAAAAATTATTTTTAAAGGCAGCTCCTATTTAATGTGTTAGTAACATTTTAATTTAGCAAACTTGTTTAAACCCTCTGTTTAATCCACTAAACACAAATGCACCTCTGCTAATTTCACTGAGGAGATAAAAAATTAATTTAGCACTAGAAAAAGAGAAATGGAAATGACCACAGAACACTGGATTTGCCTCAAGTAATTACTTTTGAATACTATTAATTTAAATGCAGAACACAAACACATTAAGATAATATTATCTATCTCAGTTTAACAAAATCAGGTTTGGGTCTAAGTAGTATGTGTAAACCTGTCGTAAAATCTAAGAGGAGTCTAATTGTGCGGGCGAGACTGCTTTGACCCACAAAGCTCTGCAGTCCCGACTAGAAGCACTTGCTTTGTTAATATGCTAATGTAGAAGATCAAATTAAGTTAAAAACACACATTATGACCCATATCTTTGCTTTCAGTGCTCAAATCAGCAGTTCCCATGTGACCTGAGGCCCACAAGCCATGTGGAGAGTGGTCTCTCTCTTCTCTACCCACTGGCCTAAGAGCATCTTACTCATTCTCTACAAACTAAACATGCTTTTAGATGGATGGAAAGATGGATGGCTGAAGAGAGAAAGGAAGCGTTTTGTTGCCAGACCCCTTCCTCCACCTTTTTTAATGCACAGGTTTTCATACAAGTGCATTTCTGAAAGGCAAGAAACTTTTTCCCACTATTAATAATGCAACAACAGAAAGCCATACATACATTATATTAGCGCACAAATTCTCTAATGACATCTTTAAGGACTAAAGTATGGAATAACTGAAAGCGCCATGCCATTAGCTCTGTATAAGAACTATACTTTCTACAGCCTACTTTGCAATTTTTCACAGCTAACACACCTAAAATTTGCACTGCAAATAGTGAAGTTACTAGTTTATCTACTTATCCTTTCATATGATATATGAATATGGTAATCAGCTAGCTACATTTTTGAGTAGCTTGGCCAACACTGGTCTTTCTCAATGTTCTGAGAATCAGGGAGCTGCAATTGAAACCGCTTTCGATTGTGCGCTCTCATTTTACTTTCACTTTCACTTTTGAGATTGCATCACAAGGACTCTATACTATGGAGCGGCAGTACTTACCACACATTTGACAAGATTAGATGTTTGTCATTGGTGCTCAGGATCTGCAAATCATTCGCCATCGTCCTATCAGACATTTCTCCTTACTCTGTGTATGTGGTAAGTGAAATTTCATGTACTGTAATGCAACAGGCTAATGTTACCGCTAGCAAGCGGCTAACATTTTAGTGGCTCCGTATAATGCTTACTTGTTTCACGCTTCGGGCACAAATGTAATGTACATTTATAACACTGTTATATTACCATCAAATTACATAGTATATTGGCAAATTACATATATATTGGCATCAAATTACAAAAAACTAGTTGCAAGGGTGTTTCTAATACAATGGCTGAAATACTGCCGGTAAATTAAGACATCGTTCTCTGTTCGGACTTCCATAATCAATCTATATATTTTTTCTCTTTTGGAAAGTCATGGAAATGCTATTGTGAAATGTTTTCTTTTGCTATTGGAGCAAATTGGAATAAAAAAAAATACAAAAAATATATATATACAATATATATATATATTTGTTACACTCCCGTTCACCACTAGAAGCCGACCCAACTATGACGACTTCTGCTTCTGAAATCCCCGGAAATGTGAAAAGGCTCATATTCAGATGGACTGAGACGTTTGTTAAAGATTTCCTTCTTGGTCTCACCTGCAGTCCTTCGGTTCCAGGTTGCTGGAGTAGTTTGACTGTTCGGCCACCGGCTGTTCTGCGGCTGTGCCCCTCATGCCAGGTAAGGTTTCCACCTGCACAACGACTCAGCTGGTACTTAAAGTCCTCTGGAAGAGCCCTGTACTCCACCGCAGGACGACAGAAAGTAAAACTGGAGGCCGCTGCGATAGAAAAAGATACATTTGACATTTAGTAATTAATTTAAACGCACACATTCCATCCTTCTTACTTACATTTTCACTTCCCTCTTCAGAAAGACACAGACAACTGAGATGTGCAGCAGCACTGTGCATTGTCAGTTATCAGTCATGCAGCAACCTAGCATCAGGGTGACTAGTGCCTTGTAGGACATTCAGTGTTTATTTCCATTTCCAGGTCAGTTTGAGGACTGCATTTGTCATTAGGGTTTTGGTGGTTAAGAGAAGAGTTTAAGGTTTAGGCTTAAGTAAAAGCAAATAAGAAATGTTTGGATGACCCATATCTTCTGTGGCTGACTGGGTGGCTTGGATTCTTCCCAGAATAATACCTAAAGACGCTAGTCAGCAAAGTTAAGGGAAAATTATGCATTAGCGTGTCAGAGGGTGATAAAAAAAGCAGAGCATTGGTAGCCCGTGGGTAATCTAATGAAAAGCATGCGAGGCTGCAGATTTCCAGGAAGGAAAACTTTAAGTGCTGCTAAATACCGAACGCCTCAGAAACATCAGTTCTTGCTGAGCTAAACAAAATAGCATTTGCAATTCATGAAACAGCTAACATAAAATATAATTAACAATGACATCTGCTAGGATCTTGCTGGCACAAAATATGCTTTAAAGGAACACAAAAAAATGCTGGGTTGTTTCAACCCAATTTTGGGTCAAATATGGACTAACCCAACTGTTCGGTTAAATTTTGGTTACATTTTTAAATTCACTTTTTAACCGAACAGTTGGGTTAGTCCATATTTGACCCAAAATTGGGTTGAAACAACCCAGCATTTTTTAGAGTGTAGTTGACTTTCTTTCTTTTGTGGAACACCAAAGAAGATATTTTGAAAAATGTTTCAACGTTGTTTTTGGCAGGGTTTTTATAGTTAACTAAAAAAAATAATAATTAAACCATAAAAAAAATCTAATAACATTTTAGAATAGAATAAAATTGGTTGCCAAGGCAATAGCTCACATTTTAGTTTAAAAATGTAACTAAAACTGAAATAAAAATTTGAAAAATCTCAGTGATACTAAAATAACACTAGTTTTTGGACACCACTGTCATTCATTCGTTATATGAACTAAACCACTGAAAAATTCTTCTAAATATCTTTGTGTTCAACAAAAGAACGAGAGTCATACAGGTCTGGAACAACATGAATAAATGATGACAGAATTTTCATTTTTAGGTGAACTATCCCTTTAACACACACACACAAAAAAAGACAGTATACATACATTTAGCTGTGAGAGTAAAACTGTTAAAAAATGTGCATATTTCTAAAAACAATACAGTAGACCAGCACAGCATAGTGTCGCTCGACTGGTGACTGTAAATGAGTCAGTGGGCAGCATAAGCAGATTTTCTTCCAGTAGCTGCGAGAGGCCAGTGCATTACAGACAAAGTGTGCATGGCAGTGTGTGTGATGGTATTGTATCACCATATGCGTGTGAGTGCATAAGCAAGAGTTGATGAGAGGGAGAGACTATATGTTTGTGTGTGTTGGAAGGTGGAAGCCTGGATGAGATAAAAGGGATGTCTTTTGCTCTCGTTCCCTGCAGCCTCACAGGCAGCTACAAAGGCCGTTCTCATCAAGAGTGCATGGGGGATGCCTGCCTGTATGAATGCATTTGGGATGGAGTCATAGATGAACACAGTCTTTCATCACAGTGCCTCTGAAGCAGACATTAGAGAGATGTGGCACTACTGTGGCCGGAGGGTGAAAACACGTCAAGGCATGTTAGTCTTGGACAGATGTTGCCCTTATTTTCTATTTATTCGTGCACAAAAAGATGTGCTCCTAAATCTAGAAACAGTATGAAAACTTGTTCTTGACCAACTAAAGGGGAAATGGAAAAGTCTATAGGCAGCAGAGTTTTATATGTACATTTGTGTTCAGAAGTTTCAGGTTTGTGAGTTTTTTTTTTTTTTTTGTAAGAGGTTTCTTCTGCTCACCAAGACTGCATTTATTTGAACAGAAATACAGTAAAACAGTCATATTGTGAAATATTGTTACAATTTAAATAGAAATGTTTTCTATTTGAATACATTTTAAAACATAATTTACTCCTGTGATGACAATACTGATTTTTCAGCAGCCATTTCTCCAGTCTTCAGTGTCACATGATCCTTCAGAAATCATTCTAATATGCTGATTTGGTCAAGAAACTTTTCTCATTATTACCAAAGTTCAGAAGAACTGCATTTATTTAAAATACACATATTTTCTAATATTATACATGTCTTTACTGTCACATTTGTTCAATTAATTCAGCGATTTTCCTTGCTGAATAATGGTATTATTTTTAAATGTACTGACCCCAAACTTTTGAATAAAAGTGTATGCGTTTCTTGTATTAAAAAGCTTATCTATGTTCAAGGCCGTAACCATCTTCAATTGTAATATTCTTAGATGAATATTCATAGTATAAATAACAGTAAAGGTTGTCCAGTGGCTGATTTGTAAAAAGAGTAATGTATTTATTAAAACAATCATGTAGCTCCAAACTTGTAAGACTTTCTTTTATTCTGTAAAACACAAAATGAGCAATTTAGCAAAACGTTCATGTTGCTGTATTCCATACAATACAACTAAATGACCAGATGTTGTCCATCTCCAGACTTGACAAATAGTACCATAATGTAGTAGATATGACTTGTAGCACTATATTTTTAGTCTTTTCTGTTTCATTGTATGGAAAAAAGCAGTATCACCATCTCCATTTGTGGTCTACAGAAGAAATAAAATGGTATGAGTTCAGAATGACATGAGTGTGAGTGCACGATGACAATTTTTTTAGGTTAAACTATTTCTTTAAACGATTACATTTGGATATCTTGAATATGTGGTTACAGCCAAGCTTCATGGCCAAGCACATGTGACCCATTTCATTGCATGTGTCAATAAAAAAAAAAGAATATAAATCTTTATTATATCTAGAGATCCATCATCCATGACAGCTCTTCATTCTCTGAAGCACACCATTAAATCCAGGCCAAGGTGTTTTTCTCACCTGCTGCACCCACTGGACTGAACTAACGATGTGGTCTCCTGTGAGAAACCAAGCAAGTGTGCCAGAGATCTCTGAACAGCATGAGGGGTTTGAACTTCGGGAAGGGAGAGAAACACAACATCTGTGTGGAGTAATGAGCTACAGCCAGAAAGAGAGAGAAATGTGGAGCTGTAGCTGCTTTAGATCTGTTTGGCCTCATTATCTATGCTGATGAATGCGAAAATGAATATGCAAGCCTTCATTAAAGTGGTGTAGCACACAAACCACTCAGCAGGTAACTGGTTCACTAGAAAACTACAGAGATTAAAGATAGTTTCATTGTGTTCTGTGATTTCATACAGTTCTAGGTTTGAATGTGTGAGGGAAAAGGAAAAAGAGAGACTTTTCTTTTGAGTTTTGAAGGACATGTTGAGACGTGGAATGGTGTGCAGGGTTTTGTCAATGAGAAGCCACAATTACAAGTCAACACCTTTTAATTTACACAAAGAAAATCACAAAATTTTCAAAGAAACAGACAGGATAATTCTTTACTCAGACTTCACAAAATATCAATCAACCAGTTATTTTAGCACTTTATGCTCATATTGGAGAGACGGGGAAATCAAAACATTATTGCTTGCTTATTAGGGTTTGAGTTTTTGTTAAGCAAATGCAGTGCAGTAAGTTAATTAACAGCAACTGACTCCATTAAAGGGGTCATATGATGTTGCTAAATAGAACATTATTTTGTGTATTTGGTGTAATGAAATGTGTTTATGCGGTTTAAGGTTAAAAAAAAACATTAT